CCGTTCACAGATGGTCCTGGTAACTTTCTCCCTCAAAACTAAGATTTTTAAATAGGATTAAACATTGTTAAAAGAAAAAGAAATTGAAAAATTAAGAGTTTAGTTGAGCAAAGAACAATTCACAAATTGAGTCATCCTCAGAACCAGAAGAGGTTCAGAGCGCTTCCTTCCCCAATGTGGGCAAGTATAATAGTATTTATGGGCAGAAATGAAATGAGGCACATATAACTTGATTGGCTGCAGCTAGGCATTTGCCTTCTTTGGGCATGATCTGGTCAGTCTACAGCCTGTGACTGGTTGAGACTCAGTTGTTATGAAAAACATACTCCTATATGGTTTTTTTTGTTTAATTTTTGAGTGGGGGTCTCACTCTGTCGCCCAGGCTGAAGTACAGGGTTATGGTCACAGCACCACAGCCTTGACCTCCTAGGCTCAGACAATCCCTGCCTCAGCTTCCTAGTAGCTGGGATTGCAGGCATGGGCCATGCCTGGATAATTTAATTTTTTGTAAAGACAGTCTCACTATGTTGCCCAGGTTGGTCTCGAACTCCTGTGCTCAAGCAATCCTTCCACCTCAGCCTCCCAAAGTGCCAAGATTACAGGCATGAGCCACCATGCCCAGCTTAGTATTATATACTATTAGGTTGCAGTGAATTATGAAGGGACTCAAGATATGGAGTCACACTCAAGTCAAATTTAATTTAATAATATCCAAGTTAACATTAATTACATCTTAGATCATTTTAATATCCTAAATGATCATGGTTTATAACATCCAGAATGGTTAAACACTAAATTTTAGAACATTTGTGGTTGCATCTTTATTTTTCCAGGACTCATTTCTGTCTTCTGTTCTAGAATCATGACAATGTTTAAAATACAGTCTTAGGATGATACCGTTTCATGGCCAATTAAAAGATGCCTCGTTAACTGAACAGGAGTGCTTGGAATAATGTCATGTGCCTAGTTTTGGATATGGATCACAAGAGAGATGTTTTACATTCCAAAAAAGTTTAGGTAATTGCTAAAAAGTACTGATTTATGATTTCCCTAAAATGGACATTGTAACTTGCTATGCTTGTTCAGGACTTTCCAAGTTCAGAGGCAAAATCTCTAAGGGAATTAAGTTGACGTTTTAGGTAGTCCATCAAGCTAATGATGCCTCAGACCTAGAGTTGTTCTAAGAAGGTAGCTGCAAAAGGAAAGCTGAACAAGGGTTTGGCCTCCTCTGATCGTACCGGTCCCTTCTTCCTTATTGTTCCAGTTCTCTCTGAGGTTTTAAGGGGATGGGAACCTTGAGATAAGGGATGGCAAACAAGTACAAATGTTTGAGTATAAATGTTCAGCCTGTTCTTTTCCCAGTTAATAACATACCCAAAAGAATGGCTTTTTTGAAATACTGGAAACATCAATCCATCCTGCCAGCCCTCAGTGTTTTCTTTTTCTTTTTCTTTTTTTTTTTTGAGTTGGAGTCTCACTCTGTTGCCCAGACTGGAGTGCAGTGGCCGCTCCCGGCCACCACAGCCTCTACCTGCTGGGCTCTGGCGATCCTTCCGCCTCAGCCTTCCAAGTAGCCAGAATTACAGGCATGCGCTACCACGCCCGGCTGATTTTTTGATTTATTGTAGAGATGAAGTCTCGCTGCCCAGGCGGGTCTCGAACCTGCAGGTTCAGGCAATCCACTCACCTCAGCCTCCCAAAGGCACGGATTACAGGCTGAGCCACCGAGCCTGGCTTATTTCTTTTTTTTTAAGGTTGGAGAATCACACTGTCGCCCAGGCTGGAGTGCAGTGGCACACTTATGGCCACCCCAGTGACTGCCCGCTGGGTTCAGGTGATCCTTCTGCCTCAGCCTTCCAAGTAGCTGGAACTACAGGCATGAGCTACCATGCCTGTCTAATGTTTTGATTTATTGTAGAGATGAGGTCTTGCCAAGTTGCCCAGACTGGTCTTGAATCCACGGGCTCAGGCAATTCTCTCACCTCGGCCTCCCAAAGTGCTGGGATTACAGGCTTGAGCCACCGTGCCTGGTCAGCCCTCAGTGTTTTAAGTGTTCATAAGGGTGCTTTAAATATTAACTAAGTAGTAGATCTGTTATTTGCCTGACTTGTCTGACCCAATATCCATTCCCAGTACTTTTCTCCCTTGTAGTCTTATGCTAGAGTTTGGAAAAACTAGAGTTTGGAAAAACTTAAGTCCTTGCAGCTACAGGTTGCCAAATTACAGTCCAAGACAATGAGATGTAAGAGGAAGTCTTGCTGAATTGGGGAGATGAAGGTAGTACCCTGAAACAGCTTTTACTTTGGCTGAAGCACTCCTTTCCCCATCTTCCTGCCTTGAACAAGGGTGTGAAGGCTAAAACTGCTGCAGACATCTTGCAACTGTGAGGGAAATGTCAAGATAATCACAGAAATGATGACACTGCTGTTTTTGAGCTGTTGAACCAACAAAGCTACATGCAGATTTGTTAAGTAACCAAATAGACTCTTACTTGTTTAAGCCATTGTAATGGAATCTGTTTTTATTATTATTATTTTTCACTTGGGCCCAAATGCATTGCTAATTCTAGTCATTAAAACGACACCGTGTTGCTTCTTCTATGGTTTACCGGTATTACTGTCTAATCATCCTAACTAGAAAATGCAGTTATCTTTGACTTCTTATCTTCCCTCATTTCCTAGGTAATCAAGTCTTATTTATCAGAGCTGGCTAATTCTCACATCTAGCTCCGCTTCACCATTGTCAGTAAATGGGCTTGGACATGTCCCAGCCGTGTTACGAACTCCTTGACACAGGTATTGCCTTTGCATCTCCCGTATCCAGTCTGGCACAAAATAGGTGCTCAAGTGTTTGTTAGACGACATGAATCTTCTGTGTGGCGTCTTTATTGTTTGATATTTAGCCACCTAGACATTTAATCAGTCTGAGCAGTGTTAGTCTACGGGAAACTCAATAAAGATTTGTTGCGTGCATGTAAAACAAATCTTTTATCTGTAGTCCCAGATAACACATCTCGGCGTGCGTTCATTTGATCTAGCCTAGCTGACAGGAAGAGGCTGCCTTCAGGAACGTACTGGATGGCCTTTCAGTTTATAATTAGTCATCCACATTCTCGTGATTGGGCTAGTGCCAAGCGCGTAAGTTAGGAAGGTAGGTGGAGTCGGTGAGGGCAATTCTGACAAATTTTTGATCCATGAGTAACTCCTAGCAAATAAGAGAACACATTTACAATCTCTTGCTGGCAAGCTGTGCCAAGTAAACCAAAACAGCGCCGGCGTAGCCATCAGCTGCTGCTCCGAGCGCCGGGCTTGGGGACAAGCTGGCGGAGAGGGGAGGGCGGCTGGGGGCGCGGGGAGCCGCCGCATTGCAGCACGACACGGAAGGCTCCGCACGCCCAGGCTCCCCTCCGCGCCCAGACGCCTCTCTCCCCCCGTCGGCCCGCGTTCCCCCGAACCGCGGGCCCTCTCGCGCGCTGCTCCGAGCTTGCCCTTGGCCTCGGGAGCACCGAAACCGCCCGGCAGGGGAGGGCGTGTTTTGGACGAGAGGGGCCACGCAGCGGCCCGCCCCACGTCTCCCCAACTTTCCCGGGTCTGGTGCTGCTTCGTCCCCTTCGTGCCCACTCCCCGGCCCCGTCTGCTGCCGTCGACGTTTCGGGGGAGCATTCAAGGGGTTAAAGAACCGCCCACGGCACGAAGCGCGGCGTCTCGCTGCCTGGATTTCCCGACAATGAGAGTCTCGGGCCTCACCTCTTGCCAGGGTCAGCCTGAAGCCTCGGCCGCCCGACCCCTGGGGGCGAACCCTCCTCCGCGCACGCGCCCACCGCGGGCGCACCCCTGACCTTTCCCGGGAACCCCCTTCAGTTACGCTTCCCGTCACCTCGCGCCGCCCGCCCCCGCCCTTCCTGCTCTTTCCGTTTCCTTTTTCGCGCCTGCGCGGCCCCAATTGTTTTGGCTTTCCGGTGGGATCCGGCAACGGAAAAGGGCGGGGGAAGCTAGAGTAAGGGAGGGG